TCCCTACTAAGGGGGAGGGCCCCAGGAAGCCCCTTAACTACTTTCAGCTTCGGCCCAGGGCCCTTAGGAACCGGAACCATGGAATGTACCAGCAGCATCAAGCCAGGGAACCGCTGACCACCCTGCTGGTCCCAGGCCTGCGGCCGAGGCCAGATGGCAGCTCCATTCACCTGGAGACACCACAGGCCAGGCCAGGTCAGATCAGCCTCCACTGCCCATAGCTGCTAGGCTTCCTTCCCCAGATCTGGGCCGGTCCAGGTCCCTCATTAAAACCTGCAGGTCACCCAGCACCTTGGAATTCTGTTTCATGCCGCCGACAGCCTCAGTTGGGCTGCTGCCACCCACCCTCCTGGCTTCTGCCAGGACCAAGAGTCCAGGTGGGTCAGGGGATGGGGCAATGAGATGACAACATCACCCTTTCCCCATGGGAGGAGGATTAAAACACACACCAGGAAAAAGAGCAATGTTGGACAGAGGTAGCAACAGCCTGCACACTGTCAGCCTCAGACCTGAGCTCTGGGGGACATGATGCAAAGTGCACAAGCTTTGGGGGGAGGGTCTGACTTAATTCTGTCTCTTCCTGGATGTGAGGGTACAGGCAATCCATTTAAGCTTCTCGGGCTCAATTTCCTCATCAAAAACATGGGGACGTGGTCTGACCCTTCCAGGTTCAGCTGCAGGGTTACTGTGAGGGTCACGTGAGAGCACAGCAGAACAGTGCCTAGCACCGAGTAGGACCTCAGAGCCCGCTGCCTCCCTCGGCCCCTCATGCAGTACCCCTGCAGAGACGGGCCAGGTGGAAACCAAGAACCACAGCCAGGCAACGATTTAACAGCACAGATGGGGCGGGGGAGGGTGAGAAGGAGCAAGATGTCAGAAGTGCTGTGGCCCCGAACGGTCCATACAAGGATGGTTTGGAAGCCAACCTGAGTAGATGCACCATGGTATTGGGAGAGAAAGTGGACGCAAGACGCACGGAGGGCAAGATCTCCGCCAAAGGTTTGAGGATGTCCTGGTGGGGATTCCCTTCACTATGTGAGTCTCCACGGGGCAGAGAACCACCCTCCCCAATACACCACCCCCGCTTCCTCCAGAGCTCCCACCACTGCACGGCCTGTTAGAGGGAACCCTCCGGGACAGCCACCGCCTTCCTCTCTGTGCTGCGAGAGCCCAGCGGGGCTGCCTGAGGCCGAGGAAAGCACCCCAGAGCAGCACTGACCAGCACAAGTCCTTGTGATGGTCAAAGTGTCCTCTATCTATGCTGTCCAAATCAGTAAGTAGCCCTGAGCTAGTGTGACAACTGCCTTTCTAACTGGACCGAATTCTAGTTAATGCAAACATCTTCATGTGGCTGGTGCCAGCAGAATGGACAACACAGCCTTATATCATCCTCTGGCCACTAACATATGGGCTTCAGCCCATCTCCCCAGCCTCAGCTGGCCTCTCCCTCGTAGGCACGGTAGGAAGAGGGGAAAGGCAACTTCCTGATCATCATGGTTTTGGTGCAGCCCAGAGGGAGGGGCTAGACAGGCTGATTTAGCATAGTCCTCAGTAAAGCCCTGAGAACCTGGGACAAGAAATCATAACCCAAACATACAAAATATAAGTTATTTATTTGGTCACAGAATCTGGGGTCTGACCCTAAATAGACGGCATTTAGGAAAGGACGCAGGGGCAGCAGTAAGGGCCAGTCATCACTCGGCCTCCCCTGTGCTGGCATCAGCGAGCTACCAAGTGATGGCCAAGGGCTGAGCTCAGTGAGAACCTCCCGCAAACTTCGACCTCCTGCTCTGGGGAGGGACGCTACTGGGGTCTGTCCGAGGACGGCAGGCCACGCTCATTCTCAAGGTCATCACCCCGGCCTTTGGTCTCCATCAGGGCAGGCAGCTGGCAGAGGCTGAGTCCAGGTGGGGATCCTTGGGATTTCTCATCTCCTCCATCTGTGGAGAGAGGGACGGAGCAGGATGGGGATGCCACCTCGGGGAAGGGAGGCACCATACAATCCCAGGAGCCCACTAGGGGGAGAGCTTGTGGTCCCCCCCTCAGTCTACTCCCCCTGCCCCGGCTACTGTCCCTGCTTCAGCCACCTGAACTTAGGCCAGGCGCCCACCACTGCCTCGGCCAGGACCTCATCCAGGGGCCTGGCCCCTGCGATGCCCACCAAGGCTGTCCAATGACAAATAGTGGCAATCCTTTACAAGTACACAACCCTCAGGTTCCAAAGTGTATTCACCTATCTTTGATCCTCCTGTCTCCTGGTAAGTCCCAGGAGACAGTTGAACCAAGCTCTCCATGACTGCACACTGAAAGGCAGAACAAGGATTTGACCTAGGTCACAGGACTCCAAAATCCAGCGTGCTAAGAACTACCGCCTCATGCTGGAGGCTACTGTCTCGGGACGGTGTGGGCACCTGGAGAGCCCTTGGAAGTCTACACCACAGGGGACGGTCACAAAGGGCAAGAGAGCCGCCACCTCCCCCAAACTCACATCCGGAGGCATTTGTCCTTTCCACCACTTGCCACTCTCTGGCCATCTGGACTCCAGTCGACAGCGTATACCTGAAGGGAAGAGGGGGAGGGGGACGGTGGCACAGTGAGGAGGGTCGGGGAGGAGGGCCAGGCTTCAATTCCCTCTCAACCACTTGCCCACGAGGGTCAGCCGCACCTCATCCGCATGGCCTGGCAGGTCTGTGGCCAGCTTCTGGGCCTTTACATCCCACACCTTCAGTGTGCTGTCACTGCTACCACTGACCAAGAGCCGGCTGTCGGCCGACCATGCAATCTGGTACACGGCAGCCACATGGCCACGCAGGGAGGCCAGGTACCTAGGCCAGGGGAAGGAAGATGAGGATGGATATGAGATCTTCAAACACGCCTGAAGGGTCCTCTATGCCCACAGCGGTGGTTCTCAACCTTGGCTGCGTGTCAGGTTTACCTGGGAACTTTTACAAAATCTCACTGTCTGGTCCCCACCCTAGACCAATTTAATCTTTACCGGTCATTACGATGCTGTAAAACTTCTCCAAATGAGTTGCTTCTAGAATGCTTCTTGCCAGGCCTCCATACCTGCTCAACTTTGCAAGCCTCAGAATCCAATGCAGCCGTCTGCTTAGCCCATCTGCACACCACCCTCCCCCAACCACCATGACAGGTGCCTGCTGACAGGTGGCATGGAGAAACAGTGGACCAGGCCCACCTGGAACCTGGTCGGGACAGACTGGCTGTGTCTACTGGTGCAAGTCGTTGGGCCACTCTGAGACTCAGTTTCCTTATCTTAAAAAGAAACCAGGGCTTCCCTGGTGGCCCAGTTGTTAAGAATCTGCCTGCCAATGCAGGGGACACAGGTTTGAGCCCTGGTCCGGGAAGATCCCACATGCTGCGGAGCAACTAAGCCCGTGCGCCACAACTACTGAGACTGCGCTCTACAGCCTGCGAGCCACAACTACTGAGCCCATAAGCCACAACTACTGAAGCCCCCGCGCCTAGAGCTCGTACTCCGCAACACGAGAAGCCACTGCGATGAGAAGCCCACGCACCACAACCAAGAGTAGCCCCCGCTCGCCACAACTAGAGAAAGCCCGCGTGCAGCAACGAAGACCCAACGCAGCCAAAAAAAAAGAAACAAAAGAAACTGAATGATCTCTTTCACAGGGCTGTGGTGTGAAAATACACGGAGACTGACACATAGGTGCCCCTTCGGCCTCAACAAGGGTTTCCTTGCTCCTTTTCTTGCCCATGCCTCTGCCTCTCCTCCTAACTAACTGCAAGGGCACTCGTGCCTCATCATAGCAGTGCTTCTCAGACTTGAAAGGTGACCTTAAAATGCAGATCATCTGATCCCCAAGGTCTGGGATGGGGCCCAAGGTTCTGCATGTCCATCAAGCTCCCAGGTGATGCACTGGCTCACTTTGAGGAGGGCCAGATAAAGACTGGACCACAAACCTACACTTGTGCTGCATCCCCGGCCCTTGGCCAGCTTTTTTTTTTTTTTGGCCATGCTGTGTGGCTTCCCGGATCTTAGCTCCCCGACCAGGGATTGCATCCCTGGCAGTGAGAGCACAGAATCCTAACCACTGGACCGCCAGGCAATTCCCTTGGCCAGCTTTAACATCATTTCTTTCCCGAGATATGAAAGAAACTAGCATTTTCAGCACCCACTTAGTGATGGTGCTAAACAGACCACCTCATTTGATCCTTGTAACAAAGCAGAGAGGTAGGGGGTCTGCACATTCAGAAGAGGAAACAAGAGGCTAAGAAAATCCAAACACTTGCCAGGGCCACACAGCTAGGAAGTGGCAGAGCCAAGCTCCTTCCAGAGGAA